GAAACATCACATCCTCTGCAAAGACAACAGGTCACCTAAAGTTGCACTGGATAGCCTCAAAATCACTGAAATGAGGATTGGGAGTGTCGATAATTTCCCAAGAAATCTTGGCTCATACAGCCTACTATTTCGTCTTATAACCTGCGAGTTCATTCAAAGAAACTAATCTATGGATTATCTTCACGAATAGACCGTCCCTTAGCGAGCTAACGTCAGCATCGAGTTCACTTTTCATAATCTTGTCATTACTACCATTGCTTTTCTTCCTGCGCAAATTCTTTTCTACGGACATAAAACACAAAATAATATAGCTATGTAAGTTGGAAATGGAGGCTGTTAGAGAATATGAAGACGAACAGATAAATATTCTTGCGAAGTACTTTCATGTTCTTAACCATATTGTATTATTTTCAATAGAAGTAGAAAAATAAAATCCGAAGTGTGGTTTCATCTAATTCTTTTTATCGACTGTATCTGTGGGCACCTTGAGCTAGTAGAATGCGTATTACCTTGTTCTTGGCAGAGCTAATCACAATGCAGAAGCAGATATCAATGCAACATATGTATCATCATGCTTCAAAATACTAAAGCGTTACATATATCATGAGTCACCTATCCCTGTAAGATCGGACTAATTATATTTCTCATATGCTAGCTAATAAATACCTCAGTTAATGCATAGTCATTAACTTATGACCATCATTCGTGAAGATTTGCAGATTTATATCACAATTTTTCCTTAATTGATTTTAATACTTGACGGATTTCAGCTACTGCTGATGCCTTTTCAATTTTTTCCCTTTCATGGCCCACCACCGCATGCTGTTATTATGAATAATTCTAGTCAATCAGCATTTGAGCATGCCTTTCTTCTCCTCATGTCATGAATATTTGCAGGTCATTTCCTACGTATAGATGAGTCCTTTCAGGCTCAGGCCATAGAGGTCTATGAGATTTTCGTAACTCTTCTGTAGGTTAGCGAAATGACCTCCTGTTATGTCTTCACTATAGAATAAATGTTGTGAGTCTAACTGTGGATGAGTATCGTCGGAATATGTTCGGACATCTCCTTCGTGATCTGTATAGACACACACACACACCTATTTTTATATGAAAGTGGGACGCACTAAGCATATTTGCTTCGGTCCTATCTTAAATGTACACTGACGAAATGTGGTGCAGTGGGTGTTTACTCAAGTGTTGGGAAGTTGTGGTCAGTCCTTCATTGATCATTACTGTTCATAACTTGGAACTGGTGTTCATCTTCGGTTTGATTTTAACGGTTTGCAGGTATGGTGGAGTATTTACTTATATTTTTAGTTAGTGTTAGCCGGAAATAGTTGGTTATAAATAGCAAGAAACAATTGGATTCCACTGACATGGGACTTCACTGTCACCTACAGTATAATTTATCGTTCTGCTCAGGTTCCGTCTTTATGTATGAATTCTCCGTGCTAATGTTACTGCATGAGTAGTTGGCTTTTGCCAGTAACACTAGAAGTATTATGGTCAAACTCATTTACTTCATCTGAGCTTCACTTATTTCACATAAGGGGGAAGTACGAAAAGAAATCGAAAATATTATATCTCCGTATTCTTGTATACCCATGAATTTGTACGACACACAGACATCTGTCTATTTAGATTCTTCGCAGCACAATTTTTTCTCTTAAACTAATTGCTATCCGTACATCTGCAAGTCATTGAAATCTAGACTAAGAACAAATAGACCACATAGCAATAAGCTATCGTTGGCGTGGGTCGGTAGGAGATTGTCGCTCCTTCTGGAACACGTGCGTAGATACCGACCATGCACTGGTCCGCGCTCGGGTGTGCTTACGACTGAACGGACGTAGGAAACAGCTGGCGGTAAAACCATCACGTCCCCAGCTCGATCAGGAAACTAAATCCGTATTTGAGGAAGAACTAGCTAAACACATATCTGTGTTCGACAGCTGTGCTCACCCTGAAGAAGCTTGGAAAAATATCCAGGCAGCCATAGATACAGCTGTAAAAGCTGTGAATAAGGTAAACCCAAAGGTGAGTAAAAACCACTGGATCTCCACCGCCTCATCCGAACTGATAGATGCTAGAAGACTTATTCCGGCGAGCTCCGAATTCAATGAGGAGCGAAAGCTGCACAAGAGGAAACTTACGAAAAGTCTCCGCAAGGACCGTGAACAGTGGTGGGCGACAAAAGCCAAAGAGATGGAGAAAGCTTTGAGGATAGGCAACACCAGGCAACTCTTTAGACTCATCAGGGAAACGGGTGGGAGAAGACAAATCATCAGTGAGACAATCTCGGAAAAAAATGGCACTATAATTAGCTCCCAGGATAGACGACTGGATCGTTGGAAAGAGCATTATGAGGAGCAGTTTAATTGGCCCACAGCCACGCTCAACCTTCCGAGCATCCAACACCTCCCTGAATGGGATATAGACACAGGTCCTCCGTCACTAACTGAGGTTACTAAAGCTGTCACCAATCTGAAACTAGGCAAAGCAGCGGGACCTGATGGAATGACTCCAGAGGTATTTAAGTACGGTGGAGACAGCTTACTGTCCGGATTAACTGAGGTACTAGGCAGCGTCTGGGAATCAGAAGAAGTCCCATCGGGTTGGTGTAAGTCACTGATTATCCCCATATACAAGAAGGGAGACAAGTCTTCCTGTGATAATCACAGAGGGATTAGCTTGACTAATATAGTATCTAAAGTCTTAGGCTCAATAATCATGCGTAGACTGAGTGGTGCTCGGGAGGCACAAACACGAGAGAGCCAGGCAGGCTTTAGACCAGGAAGAGGGTGTATTGATCATATCTTCACCCTCCGACAGATTCTAGAACATAGGAATTCCTACCGGCGTCCAACAGTCATTATATTTCTTGACCTAAAGGCAGCATTCGACTCTGTCGATCGAGAAGTTCTCTGGAGATGCTTGGCTGTAAAGGGAATTCCGAGAAAATATATTGCACTGATTAAGGCACTCTACTCGTACTCATACAGCCAGGTGAGGGCTTACGGCGAGCTGTCATCTGAACTGATGACGACCAGTGGTGTCCGTCAAGGATGCCCATTATCTCCTTTTCTATTCAACTTCATCATAGATGTGTTAATGGACTTAACCCTAGGTGACTTCAGCGACTCAGGGATTGACTTGCTACCAGGGAATAATCTCGTTGACTTGGAATATGCAGACGATATAGTCCTTCTAGGCGAAGACGCTGACGAAATGCAGAGTCTTCTAAACACCTTGAGCCGCAATCTACGAATGTTTGGCATGCGATTCGCTCCCGCCAAATGCAAGATGATGTTACAGGACTGGACTACATCGACGCCTAGTTTAAAAATAGGAAGTGAAGTGGTAGAGCACGTTGACCGCTTCACTTATTTGGGAAGTACCATCAGCCCCAACGGGTTGATCTCTGACGAAATCTCAGCACGAATACAAGGGGCTCGTTTCGCATTTTTCAGTTTACGCCGACTCTGGCGTAGACGAGATGTTCGACTATCGACCAAAGGGCGGGTGTACTGCTCATCAGTCCGCTCCGTCCTCCTTTATGGTTGTGAGACCTGGCCACTGAGAGTGGAAGACATGAAAAGACTAGCTGTCTTTGATCATAGGTGCCTGCGTTCTATTTCCCGTGTAAAGTGGCATAATAAGGTGAGCAACATTGAGGTTAGGCGTAGAGTTCTAGGTAAACAGGGGAAATCAATCGACGAAGTCGTGAAGCTACAAAGACTGAGATGGTTAGGACATGTGTTACGTATGCCAAGCCATCGACGAGCAATGTTAGCGGATATAGGGTCAGGCTGGAAAAAAGCTAGCGGCGGTCAAACAAAAACTTGGCACCAGTCAATGAAATCCACAACAGTTGGTCTAAGCCACGTAGGAAGGTGTAGACTTCCAGGCTGGGGTCCTCGGGACGGTAAAAATCTATGGTTGGAAACAATTGGTGACATGGCTCAAAATCGTTCTCAGTGGCGCAGATGCATCCACTCCCTGTGACTTATGATCTTCAATGAAACTGTTTTGTATTTCTTTATTACTCCTTTGTCTCACACCTCTGCTCACTGTTTCTATTATGCTTTTCTTGTACTTTCTTCTCTTGCTTCGCGTGCTAAAGGGAGTGTGGCGACTTGAACTTCCGCACATTTGTGCAAAGTTATGTCGAAAACATTCAGAGAGATCGATTAGGAAATAATTATTATTGGCATTTTTTAACTTTTCCATATAAATTACTACTTCAGTTTCAGACAACATTTCTAAACTTAAAAAATTTAATTACCTAAATTTGCGGGTAGTGGTAAGATTCATGTTATGAAAAGTAAGCTAAATTTGTTGAGGAATAGGCCAAACTGTTGTGGGCTTTCCTGACGCGTGAATAATCCTGAAACCTCATGAATATCATGGAGAATCGGTGTATATTTTTAAATGAAGGCGAGAAATTTGCCGAAGATTCTATACGTTTTTGTATACTGTATCTTTAAAAGCCTAATCAATGTTGTGATATCTTTTTTTTCCTTCACGTTTCCCAGTGAAACACAGGGCTTCAAGCTAGTGGCCTGAAGCTCCTGTGGCAGTGTTTATTTTACAGGATGGGGTTGCTAGCCTCATGCCCAACAATTCCTCTTTACCAGCATTATTTATGGCTTAGCGAGGTAAAGGAGTGCGTCAGCCGGGGATCGAACCCCAGACAATGTGCATGGTCGGCGATCGTCCTAACCGCTATGCCACCGACGCACCATGTTGTGATATCGGTGGTTCATAAAATTGATGCAAGTTATTGGGTAAACTTTTCGACGTGTAGTATTGTAGCTCTTACATACCTGTTGGTGGCAGTGTAAGTCGTTTGAGAAGCTAGTTTCCACATCAACAGCGTACCTCTTTTTTCTTTTTCAGTTAGTAAGCAGAGTATATATGTATATATACTCGCAAGAAGAGAAGTGACAAACTCAAACGTTGTTCAATATTTAGTCAACGGAATACCAGTGAACTAAATGGATGAAAACCCATTGTTATTAAAGATACAGAGGATAATTAATAGGCCGCAGGAAAATGATGAAGTAATACCATTATTACTGGCTTCAGTTGTTTCTAGATATTGCTTAATGGGTTGGATTCAGTTTTTCCACTAATGACAAATAACTCTGCTATAATTCGACGAACTCTACGTAGCAACATGGAAGGAATTCAACTGAACTTTTATGAAAACCTTTTAGTTGTTTTTGGAGATGTGAAAAAGGTACATACATTTTTTTATATGATTGTCTATAGAGTGTTGATTCTGTTGACTCATGTGTAAACAAAATGTTGCAAACGTGTCGTCGGATGAATGAAACTGTGACTGTAAGTTCGCCTAACCTTCATAACTGTGTTCACTTAGTCAGTTAAATCTGAGACAGCATATTTGTTAGAGGAAGCACAAAAATTGCAATCAGACAGGCAGGTTTCATTCAATGAGTTTTACTTACTCATACTTTTTTTTTTACAGTAAAATGGCAGAAATGAAAGCTTATTTGTTGGAACTACTAGTTGGTTCATATCAAATCTCTCAAGAGGATGCTTATATTTTATCATCTAAAGTTCATCCTATAGACAACACATTCTTTTCAGCACTTTCCCGTTGTAGAGAGATGAAAAATAACTGTAAAGAGTTATTTAAGTCAAAAGAAATGGCTTTCAGGTAATTTAAATTTCCAAATGTCTTACTGTTCAGCTCATCAATGATGAATGAAGTTGTGAAGACTTTAGATTTGGCGTTCGAAAGACTCTATGAATGGGCACAAAGTAAGACTCTACACTCTTGGGTTATTTCGTAGATGAATGTCGTAATCAGGTCAATGAAACACCTGAAATATCGTTAAATCTTCGGTGTGCTTTGTCAGAGTTACAAGAAAAGCCAGTTCTTTTGAAGTTAGTACTTTGTTCCATTTTTATGTATATATATCTTTTCATCAGGAAAGACTTTGACAGTAATTACCTGAATTCTGATGAGAATTAGTGACTAGTGGGGTACAGCAGATCGCATGTAAGGACAAATACTCGTCAGTGAAATTGGCTAGAAGTTGGAATTGGTGGGTGGGTTCCCAGTGGTTTAGTGATTTACGAGCTCACCTTGTTACTGGGAGGTCCTGGGTTCGGACCCCGGTGGGTGCGTGCTGATGAAGTCTCAAACGAGGACGAAACAACTATCCAGTACTCCCAGGCTTTTCAGTGGTTCTTTGACCGATGTCAGCTCATGATGAAATCCTGTAACCGATCAAATCCCTGCAAACCAATACTTGAGTACTTTAACATCGACTGAAAAGAGAGCGTACCAGTCCACAAATATAAAAGTTGCGTAATGTCTAAAGAATACATTAAGTGATTTTCCGCAGCAGCAGTCACAATGTGATACTGTAGTTTTCTATGGTTATTTAATAACTACTCATCCAGTGAAGTGGAAGATTAGAAAGAAGTTTTAGAACTGATCGCTCATAAAATGCCTTCAATATAAAATTTAACCTTGATTCTCCTTTTAGAGGTGAGCTCATATTCAATGCATTTACTATGCTATTAAAAAGAGCATAGTAAGCAGACAGTGTATTTTCATTCTTAGATGAGATCACTAGTGTAAACATTTTTATACAAACCATAGATCGCCAAAGTTATCAGTTTCTTGTCATTCTAAACTTAATTTCAGATGACGTTAAGCTTTTTACTTAGTGGATTTCAGTCGTTCTAATTTTCGTATAAGCTTCTGTAAAGTTTTTATTCCTAAAGGTTCATTATCAGGGTTGTCATGATTTCATTTGTATACGTATTTTCGACTACTGTGACTTAACTGATAAGTAAATGAGACTTTTTTTAAGAGTCTGTAGTTTCTGGTTTCGTTTGTTCTCATTGAGCAAGGAATACAATGTGAACAGGGATAAGGTTATATGTTTCTTCCTATAAATTTTCTATTTCTACCCAGTTATTTGAAATTTCAGATAACATTCTAGCAAATTTTAAGTGAATTGAAAATGTTGTGCAAATAGCACCAGTAATTTTTTCCCACAGGGATAATGTCCTTTACATCATATTATTACTATTTTTACTATTAGATAATAACAATAGTAATAATATGATGTAGACCTACCTTGTCGCGGTGGTCGGGCTTGAATACCTCAGTGACCCAAGAAGCTAAGCTGGCTGGGACTCATGTTCCTGCAGGTCCTACACGGAGTGTGGCGACTTGAACTGTCGCACATTTGTGCAGAGTTCTATGTCGAAAACAGACAGACAGACAGGTCCTACCATGTCAGGAAGGTTGTTTGGATAGCGGTTAAACTAAAAGCAGTTACCATGGAGTACATGGGCTCTAGAATCCAATCGGATCAAATGGTGTATGAACCCATATGGATCACCGTCAACCATGGGAATGCAGCTCCTGACGCTGCTCCGCTGCCTTGCGGATTAAACTCCAAGTCAAAGGCTCAGGGAGTGGTCCCTTGAGAAAACACAATCTTATTGTGTGGCGCATCTTTCTTGGTGCCATATTGTACCAAGTCTTTTCTGCGTTTAAATTAATAAATAAATAAAAATATTATTAGATACTACTTAAAATGTATATAATTTATCTGTTGACAGATTTTGTGTAAATTGTGACCGATAAACTGTTATTTTGTCTATCAAAGTAACTGATGTCAGCTCATGATTAAATCCTCCATGCAATCAAACAAAAATCCCTACAAAACCAATACTTGAAAATATCAAAGTATCGTCACTAAATATTCATGTCGAGGGGTCTTACACTATATGCACCTCTGTCTACAAAATATGGTGTTCACTCTGCACACAAGTTTAACTTAAAGACATACTGTTTATGTACGCTCAAATCAGAAAGATTTTATGCATATAGTGAATCCCTTGGTGATTTCTAAGTACCAGCCTGTCTGTCTGGATTCAACATAGAACTTGGCACCGAAGTGCAGCAGTTCGAGTTGCCACCTTCCAAATAGCACACAGAGGTAGACAAGAAGATGAGTGAAGTGAATCAATAGAGTTTGACAAGTATAAGAGTGAAACAGAATGGGTAATGGTAGAAAGGAATATGAAAGATTACAGAGACTGAATACATCTGCGCTAGCCATTGACAACGATTTTGAGCCATGTCACCTATTGTCTCCAGCCATTGATTCCTAGAGTCCCAAGGGCCCCAACCCGGGAGTCTGCATCTCCCTACCTGACTCAGTTTAACTGTCAAGGATTTCATGGATTGACGCCATGTTTTTGTTTGGCCACCACTGGCTCTTTTCCAGCCTGCACCTATATCAGCTAGCAATGCCCGTCGGGGGAGGCGGTGGTTAGGCATGCGCAGCACGTGACCTAGCCATCTTAGTCTATGTAACTTTATAGCCTCGTCGATTGATTTTCCCTCTTTACCCAACACTCTACGCCTAACGTCAACATTACTTACCTTATTATACCACCTAACGTGAGACAGAGATCGCAGACATCTATGATCGAAAGCAGTCAACCTTTTCATGTCTTCAACGCGTATTGGCCATGTTTCAGAGCCATAGACAAGGACGGAGCAAACTGCTGAGCAGTACACACGTCCCTTGGTTGATAACCGGATGTCACGCCTACGCCAGAGATGGTGTAAGTCAGCGAAAGCAGCTCGAGCTTTTCGGATCCGTGCTGAGATTTCATCGCCAATCAGTCCGTTGGTGCTAATACAACTTCCCAAATAGGTGAAGTGGTCAACATGTTCTATCACTTCACTCCTTATCACTAAGTTAGGAGTTGACGTGGTCCAGTCCTGTAGCAGCATCTTACATTTTGTAGGGGCGAATCGCATGCCAAACATACGAAGATTGCTGCTCAAGGTGTTCAGAAGACTCTGCATTTTGTCAGCATCCTCCCCTAACAGGACTATGTCATCTGCATATTCTAAGTCCATTAGATTATTCCCTGGTAACAAGTCGATTCCTAAGTCACTACGTTCAGTTAAGGATACTTCCATTAGCATATCTATGATGAAGTTAAACAGAAATGGGGAAAGTGGACATCCCTGTCGGACACCACTGGTTGTTACTAATTCAGATGACAATTCCCCATAAGCCCTTACACGACTACGTGAGTTTGAATAGAGTGCCTTGATTAGTGCAATGTACTTTCTTGGCACTCCCTTCACAGTCAGACATTGCCATAGTACTTTTCGATCCACGGAGTCGAAGGCCGCCTTCAAGTCAAGAAATATGACAATTGTTGGACGCCGAAAAGTGTGTCTATGTTCTAGAATCTGTCGAAGAGTGAAGATATGATCTATGCACCCTCTACCTGGTCTAAAGCCTGCTTGATTTTCCGTTGTCTGTTCCTCCCGAGTTCTGCTTAGTCTATGCATGATTACTGAGCCTAGGATTTTAGAGACCAGGGTTTTATTGCAACAGTTTTCGAAATTTACTATTATTATTATTCTCTTTGGTTCCAATTGGAACATAGGGCTTCGCCAACACATCTGCATTTAACTCTGTTTTCTATAGTCCTATGTAGCGGGCTTCACGACTATCCATAAGCTTTTATTACCTCCATGCTACCAATGGATACCCAACCTATAGTTTCCCAAAAGGGTTCCGCCCAAGAGTCTAGCACATGATGTTACTCAATGGTCTCAGAGTGTGTCCAAGCAGTCTCCACTTCTCATCCTTTTACTGAATATATACTAGGCTGTAGCCTAGTTGGTGACTTCGTAGGAAAGATAATTTTCTTCACCGCAACCGTCTTTTAGATTTTTGCATTAATGTTGGGCGACAGTTACTTGGTTGGTCGCTACAAAACTCCGAAGCACAGAAAAAAATATTTTTAAAAGAGTACGATCCACTATTTAGAATTTTTATTACGATAACAAGCGTATTTCCCTAAATTTTAAGTGTTTTATTTTTGAATAACAAAATTAAACAATCTTTGTTTCGGGCCAGTTACTGCGAATTTTAATTTGTTATCTGTTTTTTTTATTTATCCATAATTGTAGGTATGCACTCGATGAGTATGCAAGTGCACGTCGCAAGGCAACTGTTAGATTGCTCATGGATACACTGACGATAGGACATGATCCAAACTCTAGTACAATTAATAACTCTACAGGTGTTATCCATGTAAAGCCAATACAAATGAGATCACATGACCCTGTACGATTTGTAAGTGATATACTGGCCTGTATTCATCAACTAACAGCTTCAGAAAAGGAGTATATAAACAGTTTATGCAAGAACTGTCATGATACACGTAAGGATATTTCATTTTTATTTTCTTGTATATATATATATATATATATAGTTATTAGATGGTTGGAGGCAAGTGGCAGGAAGCCTTGGACCTAAGTTTCGTGCTTGTTGGCACTTGTCGGCAAGGCGTATCTGCAACCTTGAAGAAATACATGTTGCTTCTGAGATTCGAACCCGTGTCACCCAGTGCTGCAGTTAGAGACGTTAGCTCTGAACCATCCGAACTAACAGTTGACCTCGTGCAGGACTGCATTAGAAACTTTTCACTGGACAAAAATTCTGAGTGTACCGTCATGGCGAGCCACCTAGCATGGCAGCCACATTACAAACTTGATTGATAGAATTCAGTCTGTAGTAAATAAAGGACATTAGTTAGTGTCTGGTGAAAAGGGTATATATATAATAGCTGCGAATATAGTTGGTGCTGTCAAGTAGCAAAAGAGATGCTACTGTGACAGCAGAACACAAGAGAATTTCGGGTGTTAACGTGTGTGTTAACAACTCAATGTAGAGATATAGGCAAAATAGGTCTACCATATATCAAATCATAATTTGCACATACCTTCTGTATTATGCTACTTTTGTCTTCCCAATTGTTCTTCTTTGTCTTTCTTTCATGTTTTGCGTGTTCTTTCACAAGCATCATTCATTAAATCTATCTCTCTACTATCCAATATTCTTGTAAATGATATATATTTTTACCTGCACCTATATACTACTTATAAATCTTACCAGTAGCACATGTGACACAACTGCATAAGTTTATTTTTTATATTGTTTTTCATTATTTCCCAAACTATTTATTCATTACAATACCGTAATCCTTTATTTCAACGTAAAAAGTATTAATCTTTTAAGAGACTTCTTAGTTATTCAAAAGAAAATATATTTCGTTAAGCGAAAACTTTTCAGCGAAGAATCATTTCATCCTAATCATTATATGCTTATCAGTATTTCCATCCATGTCCAAAGTTTTTAATACTGTAAAAAATTAAGGCATTGCCTTGTGGTATAGAATAGTTAGGTTAGGTTAGGTTAGCATGTGTTGACGCCTCATGACTTCCTGAGCCGGGGGGGGGTCTCAGAGATAATCTTAGTCAGTGACTAGCAACGACGTTATCATTTGTAGCTAGGAATGGTAATCAATATCGGAAATACTAGAGTTTCTTCTTTTTCTCTCTTTCTGAAAGTGATATGAAGTGAATTGAAGTAATCGGATCCCTTAATCATTCTACTTCTTTTCCATATATATTGTGTTTTATTGTTTTTTAATGTGACACATCTCTGGGTGTTCATAGTGTACCAGGTGTGTATTTAAATAAATAAGTAGACACAAATTTCATGTTAAAGAAGAAGTTAACTAAAAGAAAAAAGTACAAATGGGTAAAAATGGAAAGTATTGTCTTGTTTAAAGTACATTATTCTCATTCAAGAGAAATTTTATTAGAATAGAAAGCAACAGTTAATTTTAACATGGAGAATAATAATAATAACTTCGCTAACATTTACATCTATCAGTCAACCTGTAGGTAGTTAATTTAATTAAATTTTTAGATTTTCCAGTCGATCGATTGGACCGAAGTGCTCGGTCTCAGGATGACATGTCGGCTTCTTGTGCAGATACTTCGACGATGTCTGGGCATTTAATTAGAATTTAACTGGTGGATGGTGACTAGCAGTAGAATCCAGGATGCGCATTTCGTCCTATTTGGGACTCGTCAGCTGGATGTTGCACAAGAGGTGGCTCTCGTGGCCCAAGTGGTCTAGTGGATAACGCTCTGGCGTTGAAATTATATGCACTGGGTTTGAGCCACGGTGAGAACATCATCACTCACTGGGAAATGCAGATACATCCAGATGACGAGTCTCAAATGGGACGAAATGCGCTTTATCCTGAATTCCACTGATAGTCACCATCCACCAATTAAATTCTCTAGGTAGTTATATTATTATGCTAATTTTTAAGCCAATAATTATTAACTAGCATGTTTGAAAATGTTATACAAAGTGCATACTTCAGAATAGAACAAAGATGTTATTCCAGAAATGGAAATGATTAAAAAGTGACTACTTTGATTGTAATAGCTGATTTCTGATTATCAGGTTATCTGTCATAAACCTTTAGTTGTTTGTAATCGATAACGACAAAGATTTGCTCAGCAGATATCTGTTAAATCTTGTAAGTATAGAGTTTCATGAACCCCCCCGCCAAAAAAACCTTTTTAACCAACTCTCAATATATATTACTTTGATTAGTAATTGACACATGTGAGAAGCTTATCTTTGTGTATTAAAATGTTGAATATAAAATTCAATCCTTTATGTCTTAAGTAGTCACTTCTATTAAATTCTCTTGTATTTTTCGATTTTGATTCAATACAGTATTCTATCTTGTAGTATTAGTCAGTGTTTCATAAGCAATATACGAAGTAGTAGCTGGTTAAAATTGTTTATTCAAGTGTTGGCTTGTAGGGATTTGATTGGTTTCAGGATTTCATCATGAATCCCGGTGGGCGCGTACTGCTGAAGAGTCCCAAACTAGGACGAAACAGCTGTCCAGTACTCCCAGGTTTTCCAATGGTTCTCTAACTAAAATTGTTTAATTTATGTTTAGACAAATAGAAAATATTGTTGTGCACCATTTCTGTGTCTGTGTTTGTACTTCTGCCTGATCAAATTTATTAGAAGTGCCATAGATTTCAGTTTCTTTCAGAAACCCTGGATATTTAGACCGGGTAACATTTTTGCTTAAACCTCGATATATATATATATATATATCATACTGTGATGATTAATGTATGGTAATATGTGATAAAATCGTGTCTGCCGCATAACTGGCCATTATTGTAACGACAACAAATAATTATATTTTATATTTGTAAGAACCTGAAGAGAAATTATTGAAAAGAATATTGATCCTTCACATCGACTTTTAATTCAAGATATGTTGCTGTTGAATATTTGTTGTAACTGTTATAATGATAATGGTATTCGTGGATTACTTATTACTACAATACCCAAGAAAAATATATCACTGATCGCTTGGGTTACTGCTGTTCACACAATGAGAAGACACTGGAGACTAATTAAGTAGCTAAAGATTTATTTTCCTTGGAAAAGGCAATAACACTAGAAATTACAACTATTTATATAGTTATTTGGGATCTTGGGATCTCTGAAGAAACCTGCATGGGAGAACAATGGAACACTTTGAAGGTGATGTTCAAGGATATGTGTACAAGTGGTCTGGGAAGAAAGAAGGGACACGACAGGGAATGGCTGTCAATGGACATCTACCTGGAAGCTAATAGAAGAGAGGAGCATGGTGAAAGAGAAGACTCAATGCAAAGATGGGCAACAGAAAGAGAAGCTGAATTCAATGTACACTGCACTGAATAAAGAAGTGAAGAAGAGTGCGGTAGGACCAGACAGAATTCCCCTCTGAAAACGGACCCAGAGGCTGCCACAGATGTACTCACACCATTATTCCAAAAGGTTTGAAAAGAAGGAAAGGTACCTACCGATAGGAAGAAAGACTGGCTACCTCGTCAAGCTACCAAAGAGGAGCGACTTATATTTAGGCCTCTGTAAGAACTGGTCTGGAATCATGCTCTTCTCCACTCCAAGTAAAATACTAAGTCACATCATCCTGGAGAGAATAAAAGATGCACTTGGTGCAGAACCCCACCAGCCTAGAAGAAGCTGGATTCAGGAAAAGCAAATAATATTCTGATCAAATTGCAGTTGTACACATCGTTTTTGAACAAAGCATAGAATGACAGTCAAACCTTTACCTCAACTTCATCGACTTCAAAAAGGTCTTTGACAGACAGCCTTAGCTGATAAGTAATTTGGAAACTACTTCAACACTACGGCGTGCAATGCCCAAATCTTTATCAACCTCATTGGATAGTTAATATAACAAAGGCACGAGTCAGGTGATTCACAGCATAAAACTCAGAGAGGCGTTCAAAGTGGATACAGCAGTAAGACAGGTGTGCCTATGATCACCGATGATATTCTTAATTGTGCTGGAGTGGGTTGAGCATCAGACTGTACGTGGGATTGAGAAGACAAGAATACGTTGGATCGATAAGAAGACTCTAGAAGATGTCTAATGTCACAAACTCGAAAACTTGCAGGCGAAATCCAACAAACTTGCAGAAGAAGCAGGCAGTGAAGACAGGACTCCAGGTGAACATAGAGAAGAAGAAGATGATGGTGATGAAGATAACCAACCAAGAGTAACAGCAAGCAGTACCAATCACCATCAACGGGAGAGATTTAACCGAGCTTACTTACTTCACTTATCTAAGCAGCGTCGTTTCAACCACATGTGGAACGAGTAAAGATGTCAAAGCTAGTAGGATTCGAAATGGTGAGACACGCCTTCATCAACCTGAAATCATTTCGAAAATCTTCTAGATTCATTGTAAAGGATGAGATTCGGATTTGCAACACAAATATTAAGTCAGTCAATTCTTCTGTGCAGGTCAGAAACTTGGCCTGGGTATCACGAAAAGCATTTCCAACAATTTGCAGACTCTTATCAACAGCTGCTACCTTCGCTGGCTACATACTGAAGATCAAATGGCAGGCCAGAAAGAATTAGCAAGAAGAAACTCTGGCAACAAACCAGCCAAGATCCGATCGTTCATCAAATATGCAGGTGAAAATGAAGGTGGATTGGGCTTTACGCTGAGGAGACTGTCGAATGACATCGCACGTAATGCATACCATCGTTCGAATGGAATCCAAATGGTAGGTGACGAGTGGGTCGTCGGTACGAAGGTGACATGGAGGAGATCGTGGGAGGAGAAGATGAGAGATTTCGGGCAGTCGTGAACCTAGCTGAAGAGGACAGCGCGAAATAGAACAAAGTGGAGATGTGTTGTTGTTGAAACCATATGTTCTACTGGGAACCCAAGGGAATAATAATAAGATCTACCGTTTTGACTTTCAATATGCGTTTAGATCAAACGGCTGGTTTACAAGTCGCTAGTGGAAAAGTAATTCATAATATATCACTTTGTGGTCTAACATCTTCCTAAAGTAACTGTCATGCATACGTTTTACTCATTTTCTACCGGTTGTCAATAAACGATTTAATTCTTCATTTAATAAGCCGCATGTATAATTAATTGGCTCAATTTTTTGAGACTTATTTTGTAAGGATTTGATTTGTTTCAGTTTGACCACGGATTGATAACACAGTTAGAGAACCATTGAAAACTAGGTAGTACTGGACAACTATTTAGTTACGCATTGGTTGAAGTTAGAATTCATTGGCCATTGAGTTGGGTCCCAGTGGCTAGATGGTTTACGAGTTTGCCTTATACTTGGTTCGAACCCCAGTGGGTGCTTACATTTTTGTCTCAAGTGGGTTTTTCCCACAACGTCATATTGGCATGATTATGAACAATTAAATTATGCTGGAAGCATCATCCCGTTTAACCCACTTTGGGTTATTATCAAGTAAACTCAGCTAACACAAAAATTAAAGCTCCGATACTTATTTTATAAATACAGATACGTTCAGTTTATATAAAGATGCGGTATATTCTACAATCTATGACGAAGTATTTTTGTGAAAATGGAACTTCATTTAATTCATCTTTTGTTTTGCTTTTCTTTTTAGTAATCAATGACTTAAAAACTATTTGTTTGGATACAATTACTGAAAGTTTCTGTGCACACTTCAAAGTAAGCTTGAAATTCTATTATGCTTAATCAAAATATTTTGACAAGCTTTACTGATAATAGGTTGTTTATATTAAATCGTATACAGTCGGTGGTTGACGTTATCTTTTATTTTCATCTATATAGATAATTTGACTAGGTAAACAGCTTTCCAAACAGTGAATATATTTCTCCGTAGGACTACAAAAAAGAAATCAAATAGGGTGTAAGAATCAGTGGGATTTGTCCAGTTGTATGAAGAAGCCAAGAATGATGATTAATCATTGTTTGTACAAAAAGTGTTTATATCAGATACTATTTATTTGAACTGTAGAGAAATTGATGTTTAGATGTTGTCTTCAGTTAACCTGCTTTAGACATCTCAGCACCTGTAGATCCACATCGCCTTTGTAAACAGCATATCCGTGGTGTCGTTTCTTTTTTAATGTAAGTGTGAGGCATGTCTTCCTAGTAACAACAGCAATCGTGGTGTTACTGTCATTCCCTCATTATTGTGGATTCTTTCTTTTTTCGTTATAACTATGTAAAGGACAGCACTGTAAATATTTACACGTGTGTCTTTGACTGCATTCAATCAGTAAAGATAGACTTCACTTTCCTTACCGAAATTTTGCGTCAATAATAACAATAATCGCTTTATTCTAAACATTGATTTTATGTGGAATACAATTTTGCGGCATTTACTCTTCCTATTAATGAAATATAGGAAATAATCACAAAATCTGCAGTTTGTGCTAATTCAGAGACATTCATATGATGTGGATCTTTGCATTTCACTGCACATCTCCATCCACTATGATATTTTCTTTCGAATTTATGAGAAGACAAAATACGATAGGTTGAAGTATTTTTTTTTTTGAATGAGAAGCTGGAAATAATACGACTTGTGTATATCTCTTATTGAATAAAACAATAACTAAATAATATAATACAAATTGATACTTGTGTAACAACAGAAGACAAAGGCCAGGCAACGGATCGTTTATTTAGGAAATCAACACGTATTTATAGATTTTCATGTACATTATTATACATTATTGTAAGCAAACAAACACAGTCTTCTGATTGGTAGTTGCTCGCTGATCGTTTATATTTCATCTGTTTGTGGCCGTTTCTTTAAGTTCAGATTATCTATCTGCAAATTGCATCCGCCTACGCAAAGTCTGCTGTGATTGGTTGTTGAGTCAGTCTTTGTTCTTATTTTTCTCATGACCAATATTGAAGACATACACATTGACGTGAATTACTATCTACCAATTTTGGCTAGCAGCCAGCTCTCATCACACTTGTTTTATTGAAGGAAGGTATTTCGCTAGGACAAACTTCAAGAGATTCATTATTCAGAAGACGAAAGAAAATTTGAGCAGAGGATATTCTTTTCGATGGTTTCCTCTTCTGGCTCTACAAATATATATATATATATATATATATATATATATATATATATGTTTATACGTGGAATATTCTAGAATAGTCGTCATGATCAATATCAATTTGTTGAGATCAGTGTGAAATTACATTTCAAGAAAGATGCATAATTTATCATAAGTATAAAAATTTATTAAATATTTGAAATCGGCGTACTGCCTATGATTCCCAAACTAGGATAAAACAGCAGCTGTCCAGTACTCCCTTGTTTTCAATGGTTCTCTAACTGATATCAATCCGTGATCAACTCGTAAAAACACAACTAACCCTTACAAACCAAACTATAGAAATTAGAAAAACAAATAAAATTAGTAAATGGAAAATCTCCATATTGAAATCAAAATAAAAGATTTTGAGCGAACAATTGTTTTCGATAACTTATTCTTCAGGCTCTACAGTTGTAAGTCTATGAATAATAGAGTACATATAGCCAATAAAGGCAAGTGAAAATAATATCAGAAACTGTATTGGGGTGCATGTGTAAGATGAGATAATAGTCCATTAGTTAATATGTCAATCAAATTTGTATAGGGTGTATAGCCAGAAAAATGTGATGAAGTGTGAATGAACAATTGAGTGTTATAGTGCTGTTTTATAGTCAACAGAATGCAAGTGTCATTGGGGTGAGAGAAATGCGATAACCCCAAAATACATACAAATACACATTAACAAAGGGGACATTGAGTGTGAGGGCTGACCGATAATGTCTAATAGTAAAATAAAGAGGCTAAATTGTAATAAAATGTTACTGAATTGGTAGGCTTAGTATAAAATCGCAAAGGTTGACAAAAATTAAGGGTAACGATGGGGTGAAATAAATTGGGTGGAGAAATGGATAGTAAAGACATGATATCACAAAATGATGATAATAATAATACGAAAAATTATGATCCTGGTGACCTTATAGTGGGCCAGGGTAGACAGTTTATTTATTTATTTAAACGCATAAAAACTTGGTACAATATGGCACCAAGAAGGATGCGCCACACAATAATAATAAAACAACATAGATCAAAAGAAAAACAAGAACGGACGGATAAAGAAGTTCATCTGGAAGGAAAACAGTCATGCTTAACAAGTTCAAACAGTATTGGTTAACTATCATCGGGAAAGGAATAAAGAAGGAAATTGCAACACGTGTAATAGCACGCAATAAATTTCATTGATTGTTTGTTGCTTTATTGAATTCATTGTGTGAGGGCTGAGATACTGCCTGGCCGCCCAGACCGAAGCAGGTGGTTTTATTAAGGGACCATCCCCCGAGCCTTTGACTTGGAGTCTAATCCGCAAGGCAGCGGAGCAGCGTCAGGAGCTGCATTCCCATGGTTGACGGTGATCCATATGGGTTCATACACCATTAGATCCGATTGGATTCTGGAGCCCATGTACTCCATGGTAACTGCTTTTAGTTTAACCGCTATCCAAACAACCTTCCTGACATGGTAGGACCTGCAGGGACAGAGTTCCAGTCAGTTTAGCATGTTGGGTCATTACGGTATTCAAGCCCGACCACCACGACAGGTTAGCGGTTATCGGCCTGGAGGGTAGACAGAGAGAGTGAATAAGTTTCTTCTGTACACATAGGTCTGGTCTCTCTCAATTAATCACTATAAAATTAAGGAAATTTCCACAAAAAATTGAGGATGATTAGAACCTTGATGGCTAAAGTAAGGACAGTGTCTGAACCAACTTCCTTTGGATACATAAGTTAGGTTTCTTAATGTACATCCCAACGGCCTCAGCAATATGTAGAGGACGAACTTTTAAGGTAAAGTCAAGATTAGTTGGTATATGGTGAATAACTTTGAAGGCCTTGTTTATATCAGTCTTGTGTTCTGTATCTACGAGATGGGAAAGTATACAAGCCCTAATGGACTATGTTTTGCTCCCCTAAATAACCACTGTGCAGGATGGTGTTCGGAAATCTGATGATGCTACTTGCTAACTTGTTTACATACTTATATTTATTTTTGCATGGATCATTGGTGAAAATAAAAATTCTCATATTAATATTGTATGTACTTTAAAGACATTTCATGTGTTTACTGTCCATAATTATAAGAAAGATAAATGAAGGGAAATTGATAAGTACACATAATAATAGAAAAGATTTGTAACTCAGGTGGATGATTTGCAATTGATAGTGTTCTCTGAGCTCCTTGGTTTAATTGCGGAGCTTTCATCATCTTTCTGCGCTGAAGATGTCGTCCAGAAAGACGATGAAAGCTCCGCAATTAAACCAAGGAGCTCAGAGAACACTATCAATTGCAAAAGTACACATAATTCTTGTGCCATTAGGCTACCCATATCTTCTTTTATTTTCGTTTCATCTTATAAAATATTATTGTATATAATATACATATCTTATTGGGAAACATCATAAAAGTAGTGAAATTTTATGTTCTCACACATTACTCTGGCGATTTCATATTAATAAGGTATGTAAAATGATAATAATATTTTTTTATCACTTTTGTAGTTAACTATGGAGAATTTACTAATATCTCATCATGATGCTGTCGTTCTATACCGAATTAATAATATACTGAGCTTTTATCAGCATACATTCATGTAAGTAAATTTCTATCTCATTGATTTTCATCCGTAATATTTTATTAAGTTGTAAAATCTTGCTAACAACCTCTTCGTCTTGAAATTGATCTCTATCTAAAAGAAAAATCAATAATCTTAGTCACAGTTATTCACAATATCTGGTACTACTAAATTAATTCTGTTTATTTTATGTGAATTTACGTTCCCAGTGGAATATAGAGCTTCAGGCTAGAGACTTGAAGTTTCTGTAGCAGTGTTTATTTTTATAGGATGCGGTTGCTAGCCTCATGCCCAGCCTTTTCTCTTCACCAGCTGTATTTCTGGCTTAGTGAGGTAAAGGTGTGTCGGCAGGGCATAGAACCACGGACCATGTGCATGGTCGGCGAGCGAACTAACCTCTATGCCACCGATGCACTTTATATGAATTACTAATGTCTAAGTTCTTTCACTGCACGTGCTTGACGCAGACAACATCAAATATCAAGGAGTAGAGTTAGGGGATAATCGATCATTCATTCAGGTAAATGTAATACAAAAACATTGCTGATGTTTGCTTACTGTAGGTTGCCATCAGATATTGAGAATGTATTAGAATCTAACATATTTAAATAGGAAAAAGCCACGTAAAATGTCACATTCATTTAAAGTCTGCAAACTGCATAAAATCATACTAACTTGGAATGGAGTTTCTAGCCATCACACTCATAGATATTTTTAAATCTTATTCATATGGGCAACAGTGCATTTTCTAATATTCTCTCGAGAAGATTTTTCATTGTTAAAAGAGATCCCGAGAATGATGTACACGGAATTTTTAAGTACTACAATTCATATTATTGTAAGAGAAAGAGTACTTATTAGTTAGGTTGTTTCTCTTTCTAGACATCAGCATAAATTATCATTATATTATTATTATTTCAATTAATTCCTAGAGGAACATAGGGCTTCAGCTGCACGTCTCCATTCCGTTCGGTTCTCTGCTAAAGTTTTCACCTGGCTCCAGGTCTGCCCACATGACCTTCTCCAATTCACTATTGGACGAACAACTCGCCGCTTCCCTTTCGAGTTTCACTCGAGGGCTTATCTAGTGATGTCACTTGATGGTTTCCTCAGAGTATGGCCAATCTATCTCCATTTCTTCTTGCTTATTTGTTGCACAGTCGGTTCCTGGTTGGTTCGCTTCCAAAGACCTCTGTTGCTGATCTTTTCTGGCCATCTGATTTTGAGTATTGAGCGAAGACAGCTGTTGATGAATGTCTGTAGTTTGTTTGCTCTTTATGTCGCGCAATACAAGTCTCTGATCCGTGTAGTAGCGCTGACTTCACATTGGAGTTGAAAATCCGGATCTTATTTTTGATGGTGAATGCTGTTGACCTCCGCACAGACTTGAGAGTAATGAAAGCTTGTCTTACTTTTCCGATCCTTGCTTTCATTTCCTCGTCCCTTCCGTCTGCCTGTAGTTGAAACGATGCTTCCCAAGTAGGTAAAGCAGATTGTTTCTTTCAGGTTCCTCCCATTTATGTTGATTGTTGTTGTGTTGCCGAGGGATCTTCATCACCTCTGTTTTCTCTATGTTTACTTAGAGTCCTATCTTTGATGCTTCTTCTGCCAACTTGTTGCTTTTCACTTAATTATTAATAAGTATATATATATATATATATATATATATATATATATATATGAAAAAGAGAAGACGTTCAGCGAAGAGACTCTTTTCGGCGAATTCATTCACATAGCTGTACAATCGCATTTATATATAATTATTTGAGTGTGTGTGTGTACATGAGGTTTGTCAAAATTAGATAATTGATCAGGTAATAAAAGAATGATCTAATATAGAAACAAAGTTAATTGGACAGCAACTAAATTAAGATTGAGTTAGTAAGTTAGATGACGTAATACAATTGACTAAAATGTTTTAACTTAGGTCAGGTTAGCAACAGAGGTAATTACAGGTAGAGACTAAGTAGAAGTGGGGTAGATAATAATGCCATTTAGATTAGAAATGAAATTGAGCAATTAAGTTGGATGACGTAACATAAATGACTATAAATTGAGCGTTGGTCAGGTCAATTAAAGTGGTAGTGAGGTGTAGAAATTAAATCGGGTAGGGGTAGAGACAAGAAAGTTGAAAATGCAAAATATTACAATTGAGAAGACAGAATAATACCAATGAAGAGACAGAAAAAAAAAATTAGGTAGAATTTACCTTTCAGGTAATAATGTAGGTTAAGTCCATTGTAAGTTTAGTGATTGAACGAACCTCTTCTGTATGCAGAGTTCAGGGCTTAGCAAGTGAATCGCCATTGCTTCTGCAGTTTGAAGAAGTCTGATTCGTACACCTTTTGGAAGACTACTTCTTACTCTGTAGACGACTTTGAAGTTTGTTTGGGGTGCAGCTTGGTGTCCGGATTCTATCAGGTGTTCTAAGATGGAGCTGCGGGGACATCGCTTTTCTCCTTTGTAAAACCATGCTGGTAAGTGTTCGGTGATACGCTTGGAAAGCGAACGCTGGGTACGGCCGACATACCTGGCTCCACACGAGCAGGTGAATTGGTAGATACACATTGATGAGGCCAACAGTGGTAGCTTATCCTTCACGTTCACATGAATCATAGGTTTTGTGGAGAAAGTTAGTCGTAGTTCAGCTGCGAAGAAAGTCTTCTTGAGTGAGCGCGACAGTCGATTTTTTAGTATTTCCGCAGATATATCTCCATTGAATTGAAGGTTTATGTAGAGTGGTTTCTTCGGGACGCTATGCGTGGGCGGCTTTTGTGGCCTAGGATTCATAGATTTTGCAATAAATCGTTCTGGGTAACAATTCTCGACGAGGATTCTCTTGAGATTGTCCAGTTCATCTTCTACGGTGTCCGGGGTACAAATTCTGCGAACTCTGTTGCTAAGTGAACGGATCAGGTTCCGTTTGGTGTATAGGGGTACCCAACTGTGGAAGTTAATCAGCTGTCCGTTCCATGTTGACTTTCTGTAGATAGATCTTTTCAGTGTTCCATCGTGTTCTCGTCTTGTTAGTTGGATGTCAAGAAAGGATATTTTAGAGTTGGACTCTTTCTCCAGCGTGAACTGAATTGCGGGGTGGCACTTGTTAAACGACTTCAGGATGTCGTCTAGATTCTCTTCATTGTTGACGATAATGAAAGTGTCGTCGACGTATCTCTTGTAGATTCCGAAGGTATCGATCATTTTCTTCATGCATGTGTTTTCGAGTTTTGCCATGAAGAAATCTGCAAGTAATGGGCCTAGTGGTGAGCCCATAGCTATACCATCCTTTTGGCGATATATTTCGTTGTTGAAAGAGAATTGAACATTCAGGGTACACCTCAGAAGGAGTTCTTTAAGACGCTCGGTGGGTATACCGATGTTTATTCCTTTGGAATCAATAAGTTCGCATACATAGCATATTGTTTCAGTCAGTGGAACATTTGTGAATAGTGATGTGACATCTAATGAGATCATGGTCCTGTTGGATACGTTGATGTTTTCAATTGAGTCGATAAAGTCGAATGAATCTCGAACTGTGTGGCAGGAAACTTGTCTTCTGATTGGTTCTAGTAGATCTGCTAGCCATTGGGCTGTGCGGTGATAAGGCGAATTGGTCATGTCAAGGATCGGTCGAAGAGGGATACCGTTCTTGTGTACTTTCGGAAGTCCATAGAGTCGTGGTATATTTGAGCCGGATGGTCTTATGGATTCAAACGTTTCGTTGCTGATGAAAGATTCAGTTTTTAGCTTACGGAGGGTGTCCGTTAGCTTTTGTTCGGTCTGTTCAGTCATGTTTTTCTCGTTGACCGGTTTTGTGAATTTACATTCATCGGATAGTATAGTCAGCATCTTACTGATATAGTCCTTACGATTCATGATAACGATTCCTCCGCCTTTATCAGGACGTAATATCATAATCTCTTCGTTTTTCATAAGTTCTTTCAGCTCCTTATAATGCCTCTTCGTCAAAATGGACCTTCCGTTGGGTTTGGTATTTATAAACTTGTGACAACTGTCGAGGATTGATGCTTTGAGTTGTTGTAGGTTTTCATCTGATGTGGGTGTGAGATCGTAGGTTTGGTTTATTAGATTTTCAAACTGAATCTGGCATTGTAGCTTGTCAATACATTGTGGTTTTACGCAGAATTTCGGACCTAGAGATAGTGCCTCTAGTTGGGTAGTAGATAGTGTGATGTCTGAAAGATTGAATACGTATTTTTCTGGATTGCTTGGGAACGGAGATTCGGTATTAATTGTAGGCTTTAGACTTTTGAGCAGATCTGCTTTAGTCTTGTTGCATTCTTTCTGAGTGACTTGTTGCACATATTCTTCGAAGGAATGGCGTAGATCTTGATCTAAGTCTTCGACTGCATGAGCTCTTGAGTAGACGTTTCGCTCTAGCTCGAACACGCGTGATTGAATGGAGTCGATGTTGTTTCGTGTGTGTCGTCTGAGTGTTCTGGTATTCGGTTGGATGTGGTTGCGTCTGAGTGACTTCCAATACATCTTTGGATACTCATGTCGATCTATACAATCTCTTAAGAAATCAACCTTTGTCTTCGCTACCGCAAGCTTGACGGAGTAACGCAGGAAACCATCCAGCTCCTTCACCGTCCCTGGGTCCTTGCAACGTTTGAGTATCTTGAAAATCCCCATTTAGTCATATGAAAAAGAGAAGACGTTCAGCGAAGAGACTCTTTTCGGCGAATTCATTCACATAGCTGTACAATCGCATTTATATATAATTATTTGAGTGTGTGTGTGTACATGAGGTTTGTCAAAATTAGATAATTGATCAGGTAATAAAAGAATGATCTAATATAGAAACAAAGTTAATTGGACAGCAACTAAATTAAGATTGAGTTAGTAAGTTAGATGACGTAATACAATTGACTAAAATGTTTTAACTTAGGTCAGGTTAGCAACAGAGGTAATTACAGGTAGAGACTAAGTAGAAGTGGGGTAGATAATAATGCCATTTAGATTAGAAATGAAATTGAGCAATTAAGTTGGATGAC